GTGATAGACTCTAAATTGTAAGTCGCTTTGGATAAAAACGTCTGCTAAATGACTGTAATGTAAAGGAGACCAAAGTGTTATAATTCACTTTCATGAACTGAAAACACAAAGAGTTTGCAGACCTGTAAATCACAAGGTAGCCGCATCCTTAAGCATACCCTAAATCCTAATCTCGAAATGGGACCATAATGTACTAAATGTCATTTAGTCATAAGACTTGAAACTAGTGATTGAGATCATAAACTCATGTTTACTGAGGGAATAAATCAAGTGAGAAGTAGGGTCATTTTCTCATCGACTTCTATACAACCAGAGGAGTTGAAGGCACTTTCACATTGGATTCACGGTTCAGACCCAGAGGTTGCTGCCTGGTCTGTCAGCTACTATAACTGCTTCCTGCATCTTCCAGTGATTACAGACCCCTGATTATATAAACGTGAGTACATTTTTTAAAACATCAATCCAGCAATAATAACAGCAAATAATTATATTAATTTAATGATAAATGTTTGATTTGTTATTAAAATTACTCTTTGAAAATAGTGCACTTTGTGTGGCTCCACTTATGTCAGCAGCCCAAAGCGTCTAAAATCTGTTTATATCCATGTGTGTGTGTGTGTGTGTGTGTGTGTTCGCTGAGGCCTCTCCACCTCTGCAGGCTGCTTGCGCTGGCACTGGAGTGGGATCGGTCTCCGTCTCGGGGGACGGTGATGGCCTTCCAGGTTTTCCCACTCAGTTCGCTAGAAGTCACACCTTGTCGGAAGTACACCGTCCGATCCTCACAGCTGATAGCGAACACCTACACACGACAACAATCGGTTAGAAATGTCCACATCCCATAACCTCGCACTAAGAGCCATGCGGTAATGCTAAAGCAACCAACAGAAAGGAAGGTACTTGATTTGCAACTTCCTTACAGTTTTACGCAAGTTGTGATGTCAAGTGGCTCATAGTCACCTGATCGTTGAGTCCTACGTTGATCATGATCATTTCTCCCACCATGTTGATCCAGCCGGAGCCACTCGGGTTGTGGGAGTTCACACCGCGTCTGAACCACACCTGGCAAAGCAGGAGAGTGGGGAGAAAGTGCTCTTTAGCATTACACACATCTGTTAGAGTGAAAACAGTTGTACTTAATTAGGATAACCGTTTTATTAAAAGGTATATGTTCATTACAGAATGTCCTTACTTTGTTGTCCTTGGTCAAAGCCCAAACAACGTTGACTCCCACGGCTACATGTGTGGCTCCCACATCAGGACTGGGAGAGTCCACCTCCGCCCAGGAGGTACCTGACATGCAAAATAATAATACGCTCAAAACAGACAATAAACGCAATCACACACAAGCCATCATCGCCCTCCCACCAGTGAGCCTGTGTACCTTTGGGGCAGTCTCTGCTGATGCCCTCCCTGACAATGAGCTGCCCCTCCCACAGCACCGCCCAGATCAGATCCCCCGGGCCACAACTGATCTGGACCACCTCCCCGGGGAGAGGCATCTCCTCCCACAAAGAGCCCTCGGGGTTGTGGTGGTAGATTCCCTCTCTGAACCACACCTGGGGAGAGAAGGAGGGTTAGATAATCAAGATCGGGACAGTAAGTGAGGACGAGAAATGTATCTGCATCAAGCAATGCAAATGCAGCTGACGTGACGGGACACCTAAGGCTGAGGTGGTTGTTGCATGTGTGTGTGTGTGTGTGTGTGTGTGAGCGGTACCTTGCCCTGTAGGGACACAGCCCACAGTGACAGCCGGCCCCTGGGCTCGTCACTGATCTCCCAACCTCCACAGCTGATGTCGCTGAAAGGATCTGGAAGAGTCGTCTGCTGCGAGGGGATCTGTGAGCACACACACAGGAAGAGAGACGCAGGTGAACAAACAGAAAGCTTTACACACACACACACGCACACACACACACGATATAACCCACCTTAGCCCAGGTGTCCATAGCTTTGTATGTCCTGTAGCGGAGCCATCGCCTGCGTCTGACGCAGGAGTTCCACTTCTTATCTTTGGTGTAAGTGGCGGGAAAGTCAATGGCGTAGGTCCATCCCTGCAGATACAAACACAATCATTAAAACAAGGCAGGAATTAAAAAGACAGAAACTGATGCTGAAAGTAGGGAGATGCCAGCAAAAATAATAACTGGACACTCACCCCTTTCTCTGTGGGCTCTCCTTCTAGGTTTTTATCCGCGTGCCAGCCGCCCTCCCACTCCCAGCTAATGGAGGGCAGCCGGAAGTTGTCCAGAGGCTGGTACTGCAGACCCGTGACATCACTCCACTGCCAGCGATCGCTTGGCAACAAACGATCCGAGAAACCATCAACAGGATTCCATCGCTGACAGGAAGACAGACGGAGACGGCATGTTAGAGAACACACAGGGCGATAAACAAGCAACGTAAAAGTAACTCTTTTCACCTCGGTTGCACGTCACAATCGAACCCAAGTGCCCTTTCTCCCAATTTCACTGCGTTTGTGAAATACCAAAGAGAACTTGTGGTGAGGTGTTCCCTGGAGAGGAAGTCACAAGAACAGCCACCGTACAGTATCGACCTAATGTACACAGCCGCCTGACAACAACCTGATGGTCCCTTTAAGTTCAGCAAACAGTATACTTTCACTGTTTGTGGTATTTTGCTTAAAAACTGGTTCACCGTACTCATAATGTGCTTGTGAACGCACACAGCTGACGGTGTGTGTGCTGGAGTTAGCGACAGAGGAAGTGGGGCGCAGCTGTATGAGGATGTTTCACTTGCTTTTTCAGTCACTCAACCACACATAACACATGTTCGAGGGGGAACTCCACATTTTTGATTATACTCAGAATAATTGAAGAAATAAAAGAAGGCATAGTGAGAGCAAAGAAATAGCTTGGCTTCCATTCTTCCAGAAGAGGCTTACTTGATTCTCGTAGGTCTCCTCCTGGTAGCGGACCGGCAGGTCAGAAGCGTGCAGGTTCAGGTAGATGTTGTTGTCACAGGCGATGCCCCAGCAGCACTGCTGAGCTGCCGTCACGCGCTTGAACTCCATCTGGACATTACGGCACTGCTCCCACACCTGCCCCGCCGTGGACAGGCTGTAGACCCGCCCGTACACGTCCACCGCCCACAGCAGAGAGACGGGCATGGTTTATCCTGTATTTAGACAGGAAGGTCCCATTCAGATAAAAGGCCTCTTCTTCCAGGGAGATCTCATGCTATAAGACAGTACAGCTCCCCGGGACATTAATGCACTCACTTCTACTTTATCATAGCAGGATGAGCACAGCTGTTATAAATAACATTGCTAATGATGGCTGTGCTCTATTCAAGTGTCCCAGAGAGACTGTAACTGGACCCTGGTCATTGACACCTGTGCACCTGTTTTCCTACTGAGACGTTAATACATACAGCACTATACGAATCAATGCTAAAACCCCCACTAAGGGTCATGTGTTGAGGTGGCACTGATCCATGCTCTCTGTGTTTGTTTTTCTTTTGTTTGTTTACACAACTTCTGCCCCTCTTCTCAGGCCACGACCCAAATCCATTTATTCTACATCCTGGTCAGTGTCCTCACAACATTTAGGCCTGCATGGCAAACGTGAAACGACAACAGTAAACTATGCCAGGACCGCTGAATGCCTGCTATAACAGCTGGTCTCCGTGTCACAACATTGCGTAACCGGCAGGGATGCTGCTGCTAAAAGGCGTCTCCTCTGTCGCCTATATTCTGAATACTGTATATTCAGCTCATAATGATACTAATAATGATTATCAAAGAATACATGGGCACTGACAGTGAGGACACAGCGATGCTGCAAGCAAAATAAACAGCAATATGTGTATTTATTGGTGGTGTGTTACTGTATAATAACGTATGCAGCTGCATAGCAACGTACGTGTCAACAACTCAAGCTACACATTAGCCGCACGACACCGCCGGTGTGAATGACAGAGGTGTGAAATGTAGCTACGCTGTGAATGCTCCAAACAAACGCTCACTGTACAATAAAACCAGCTCGAAGCTTGGACGCCAACACTCGCTCTCGGTGCAGGCTTACGGGCTGTAAGCCTCTGGAATTAGAAAATGAACGAGAGTTCAAACACACCAACCTTGAGCTTCCTCTCATGAACCGTGAACCGGCGCAGGAGTCACCGCTGCTCATTCAGCGGGGCGATAATGAATAAAAAGCTGTCTAAATCATAATTGTGTCGCCCTGATAGTCACATCATATGTCTCTCCGACGTGAACCAGGAAGTGTCGCTGTTTCTTCGCTCCTATTGGCTGTTTTCCCGGCAGCAGGTGTTTGTAGCTTCAGCCTCCAGCAGGGGGCGCTGCTGGCCGCATAACCTGATTATATGCTCATAACAGTGGTGATAAGTAAGAGATAGATAGATCGATAGATAGATAGATAGATAGATAGATAGATGGATAGATGGATAGATAGATAGACAGATAGACAGATAGATAGATGGATAGATAGATAGACAGATAGATAGATAGATAGATAGATAGATAGACAGATAGATAGATAGATAGATAGATGAATAGATAGATAGATAGATAGATAGATAGATAGATAGATGAATAGATAGATAGATAGATAGATAGATAGATAGATAGATAGATAGATAGATAGATAGATAGATAGATAGATAGATAGATAGATACTTTATTAATCCCGCAAGGGGAAATTTGTTCGCTACAGCAGCATTATGATACAGGTACTACTGCATTGAAGTACAATTTCTGGATATCAGTACTTTCATTGAGTATTTTCAATTTCCAGTACTAAATACTCCACTAGATTTGTCTGACAACACAATCAGCTTATAAAATATGATTCATTGATTAAAAGCCCTGCACTCACACACAGGTGTTTTCATTTGTGTGGCTGATAGGCCTGCCGAGGTTGGAGCTGTGCAAAGCTTTGCTGTGATTTATGTTAGGTCACTATAATGACAAAGTTGGTACTTACCCTGCATCAAAATTAAGAGGTTTTTATACTGTTTATTAGATGTTTGTATGGCAATTAGTTTGATAATATTCAACTAAGCTTCTAAAATCACAGAGTAAAAACAGGTAATCTCTTTCATCCCGGTTTTCCACTAAAATATACCCGAATGTGAGGCAGTAACACGAACACTAATTATGCAAACTTTTACTTTACCTTGTTTTATTGAGAAAAAAAAGACTACATCAGTCTCCCCCCCTACATGTGAGTAGGTACTCTGCAGAAAGCATGAGGCAATAACTACAATGGCTTCACTTACACACACACAGGAGGGTCTATGAGGATCAATCAACTGTTTCATCTGTCACTTCCTCATCACACATTTCCATTCTGTAAAGCAAAGACATGGCAACAAAAAAGTGTTTCACAAAACAGTTAATACTTTTAAACAATGACCCACTTTATTCATACAATGCAAATGTCTACCCGGGGCATTTTTATTTTGTATAAACTGTGCATTATACACAGAATCTACATTGAACAACAGTGAAACCATGAGGAGTGAAAACAAATTCCCTTCATCAAAAGGTCATTGCCCGTTTAAATAGACCAGCAGTCAGATTAAAGCGATCTTGGGATCGTATTCAAAAGGGAGCCTTCACAGAATGGACTTCTGCACACATATTTTTTATTTAAGTATCTCATACAAACTTAAGTGTATATAAATAGCCTTCTCATTTTAAACAGTGACATACTGTTTTGCCTTCACTCAAATGACGTTTTTCCCAACACTGTCACTCTCTCTTCATTCTCACAACCTTTGTATATCATAACGCCTCTTAAGAAAACAAAAGACAAAAATAATTATAACAAAAACAGAAATGACAATATATTTTTGGCAAGTTAGGTAGACGGCCTAGATGCATGGTCTTCCTTGTCAGCATCAAGTCAATCTGGATCTCTTCATTTTATATGAAAACACTGCACTGACTGCAGCACAAACAAGCCTTATGACACTGTCTAAGCATCTTTTTTGCATCTTAAAGGAACAGTTCACCCAAAATGAGGGTTCAGGTATCTCCTTGTTAGCGTGTCACTAGAAACTAGAAAAGCCCCGATGGCTTTATTTTAGTCCCATTTAAAGTATTTTCATTCAGTAATTACCTATCTACACACTATAGTAGTGGTGGACTCCGCCATTCCTGTGCAGGATCTTGATCGCGTACATATTCTAAATTTTCATTTTGGGGTGATTTCTTACTTTAACAAAAATCTTGGAATTCCTGCTTCTCCATGTGTTGATTATGCAATATTTCCCCGTTGCGGCTAATGTAAAACACACACTGGCACTGTCAACACACACTTGTGCCAAGAAACAATGGATTCCTTTAATAGAGCAGACCGGTACTGAGGGAGACAAGCATGCAGGCCGGTGAGATGTCGGGTTTAGTGTGTCGCAGGGGTCCAATGTTGCATGATTCCCCTGAAGGCATGACAGCGGTGAAAATCCTCATCTTTTGTGTTAGACGTGTGGTGCTGATCTGTCATTCGTGACTGTTGGTCTCAGCTTGACTCTGGCAAATGGATTCCCTCCTCTGCAGGAAATAAATGGGGGGAAAAAAATCATCAGGCTGATATAACGCCTTCAAATTCATCATTATGTGGTCATCAGCCAAAGTTTAATTACCAACACACATCCGTGGAAACGTGAGTTTTGGTTAGTTGTGTGAGGTCACTCACCCTAGAAAGGGAACCTTTGCAGTCCCATTGACTAACGAAACCTGTAGTCAAAAAAAACACAGAAGAAAAGACCCTTCAAGATCCAGTGGACAAAGAAACAACACACGTTCAACACGAACCACCACAAACCCACACCAGCTGTGAAGAAAGTCAGTGTTGTCAGACTGGTTTGTTAAGATTTCCCGTCAACAGTACCCCCTCCCCCCTCACACCTTCCCAATCCGCCCAGAGGAGCTTTAACATGTACTTAAACTCCATGTTAACCTGAGACCTCACCAAGTCTGGAATCTGGACAATCTAGAAAGACTGCAATGGCAAGAGACACACTCCTCTTTTTCTCTCCCCTGAGGACAATAACAATCATTTCACCCTCCACACAGCCAAGTGAGCATGGGGACGATAAAGCTGCGGAACATAAAAATTGTACTTGACCTTTGTGAGGCTACCATTTTTGCTTTTAAAATGCTGTAAATAAAGTTTAAAGAGGAGCTACAGCAGTTAATACATATTTCAACCCAAGACTTTGTTAGTTAGTTTAGGATGTTGTTTTCATTTTAGATCAGATAGGAACAAGTATTTAAAGTACGATTTTATCATTCTTTCATTAACTGTGCATGACGAGGGGCTGATAAAGAGAGGTAACTATAACTTGGTAAACTTAATGGATTTCATTTTATTTTTTCAAATCTGTGAAGCTTATAAGAATGGTTGCATTGCATTCATTACTAATTACAGAAAAAAAAACATGCATTACCCTGCTCTTCCATTAGAGAGCAGACAACAGCTAGAAGTCACTGAACATGCAGCTTCAGTTTTATGTCCTGAACTTTGCCTTTCAGGAAGCACCTCTCTTGTTGTTGTTGTGTACTGCCCTCAACAAACTCTTACATTCATCATTTAGGAATAACTTACGAACATAATAACATTTCAACTTGAGCTTTTTTTTTTCTTTTCTGGCTCAAAATATTACCAGAATCCTGATTTGTTGTTTCTTCAGGGACACAGACATTTCAAGTCAAATTGCTAGAAATATGTAAACGTTATTCAGAAATGAAAAACTATTATACATTTAAAAAAAAAATCTAACTCTAATGTTTTCAATGTAGTCCAAACCTGAAAAAAACGTTTTAGTATTAAGAAGAAGGGATTTGATTTGAATGCTGCCCGAGAGGCTTGACTCAGGGAACTAAAATACCCCGAGCAATGGTGACAAGTTCCACCTTTGCCCCACAGTCACAATAACAAACCTAAAGAGCACAGCCAGCCTTCAGCCCTCTGGACACGTTGTCAAAGGCAGAGCAAGGATTTCTTGTTGTATGTGGCCTTATCTATGCTGGGCTAAGTTTTTACGAAATGTTGAATCATATGAGGATGAGACGATCAAAGGAAACATTTTAAAAAGCACTGGGATCCCTACTGTTGGAAAGGTACATCCCTCACTGTGGTTTATTTCACAGTAAAACCCTGAGGCAGCAGATACAAAGGACACCGAGTACAGGCAGAGCAGCGAGGAAGGTGATGATGAGGGAGAAAGAAGTGTGCCCGGGCTCGTCTGCTGGCTGGACAGCTACTAGTTCATTCTCAATCAGCGGACACAGTGTAGGGCACGAAATTAAATTGTGTCTGTACACTCTTGTCCTTAATGTAACGCTCTCCCTCTCCTCTAACCTCGCCATTCCTCAACACAACCTGGCAAAACCTGGCTGGGAGCATTTTTCAGATGTCTTTTTTAAACAACGACTTTCTGGTCTGTTTGACACTTGTCTTTTGTGCCTCGATTCATTTACTTAAGGATACATGACAGCTTTAGGGCTCACACATTTGGAGGAAGTAGTCATCTAGATAAATACAACATGTTTCCTCGAACTGGTGAGAGGAATTGAGGTGTGTATCCGGCTGTGCTCCCTCTTAAGGGTGTGGAGGCAATTACTATGCAAAGAGGAGATGTTGACAAGAAACAATTAGTCAGACTAATAGTTGGACGTGTGTGTTGGCATTTTGTCTGTGATTTGTCTGTGATTAATTGGGCAAGGCAATGGAGATATCCTATCAGGGAACATAAGAGTTTTTCTAGAACGTGTGACGTGGCCCACTTCATAGACATTCAAACATGTCAGCTGTCGAGCACAACCACAGTCCTCTACTGTTAACCTCGCAACCAGAGCTAGCTAGCTAGCAAGCAAAACATGCCTATTTACACATCCAGCAGGTACGAACAAACATTAGCATTATTTCTAAGTAATAATCAGGCAACCTGGTGAAGGTAAATCCAATCCAAATCCTATATTCTTCTCTCTGTTTTCAAAATATCACACTTAACGAAGCACGTTTTTTCCATTGCATCCTATGGTAGAGTGCTTCCACATTAGTAAAAGCAACTATACCATTCTCATTTTTAAGAGTGACAAATGGTGGATTAATGGAATAAACAATGTCTAGTTAATCACATCCACACAAAGATGTATTTAATAAATACAACAGACGACATGTGGTCAGTAGATGCTCATTGAGGTGCTGGTATTGACCTTGTTCTGTGGCGAGGGCGTTGAAGGGACCACTGGGCGAGAAGGGGTGACGTCGCTGTAGTCGGGCGGCGGCAGCAACACAGGCTCCTCCTCCTCCTGCTCCTGCAGGCTGGCCACGCTCAGACTATGCACCGGCGTGCCAAAATTGCTGCCAACACACATGACACAAAGGTTCAGCTGTAAAACAAATCATTGATTCACTTCCCAGCATTTTGTAATGTTGTCTCACCTGTTTGATATCACTGCTTCAGTATAAGGTGTGCAGTAAGAGGAAGGAAACCAGCCCCGCCTATCAAGGAAGACAAACACACCATCATGTCATGAAACTATTTTAAATAAGCAGTCATATAAAATCTTTATTGACTATCCATTAACTGTTAGCTTCCTGGAGTCCATGTCATATAAGACGTGGGAGAGGTATCGATCTCATCTAACTCTTGGCAAAAAAGCAAATAAGTGTTTTTCTTGAATCTTCAAGCTATTCCTTAAGACAACCAAACATTTGATTTACAACAACACGAATAACCAGAAAGAGCTGCCACAATGTGCCAGATTCTAGTGGCAAACCTTTAAGCACATAACAATCAGGCCAATACAGGTTAGTGATTTTTGTCAATTCTTTGTCAATTACAGAAGAATGTACCAGATAGGTACGTTTTGTATTTAGGTAACCCAAATAATAAATATCTTTAAGAGTGTCAGATGATGTTCTGTACTTTTTTTCTTTTAGCCTGAGTGGGTCACATGATCAAATCAATTTCACCAAAAGGATAGTTGGCACTTGTTACATTTTTGCAGGACTTTCATTGTAAAAAATAGTCACATAAGAGAGCCAGAGCAGAAAAACTGACACTGACTTTCGCCATCATGTGTGCATACAACAGATTAGTTGGCTGCTACAGACGACACACTTGAATGACATGCATACTGTATATAATCCATGTCAGGCGGACAGTTTCCGTTCACTAACACCCAGAAGTTGACTCCAAGTCACGTTTGGAGAAAAATATGGCTTATCAGACCAATGCACTGGATTTGTTGCTAAGAGACAGAATGTAATGTGATCTATCCCAGCATGTCCTCATCTTTGCAAACCACTTTAATTCCAAAAGCCTCTTTACAACAAACAAACACACACACACACACACACACACACACACACACACACACACACACA